GAGAACGGCTCGTTCCGGACTTGGGAACGGCCCGTTCCGATTTTGGAACAGCCCGTTCCAGACTTGGGAACGACCCGTTCTGATATTGGAACGGCCCGTTCCAGGCCACTAAAAATAGCTGATTTGGGCTTTTGGGCCCTCTGATGTCTTGTCTTGTTGTTTGCATGCTTGGGAGCTCCAATTCTTTGATGATAGACGTCCATATCTTTGTTTGTATGCTCCCAGACAAAATTGGGTGTCTACAGTCCACTAATCACATTGAAAGAAATCATACAAGAAACACAAGAGGACATCAACATGAATACAAAAAGGAGAAAAATAGGCAAGCACGGATTCACAAGTCAAAGCTAAGTGCATCAGAGAAAGGACACCTACTTTTCACAAAAAGACAGCACCGCAGCAGCTAAACTGATGAGGAAGGTACAAATATACCGAGATCATGATTGAAGTCAGATATCGAAGTAATCAACTACACAGAGAGACTCCACGAATACAAGCAAACATTTAATGCAAGATCAAAGGCTTCATCCGCAACAACACGAGGCTACGCTCCAATGGGAAAATTTGAATTCAAACAACGAGAAAATTTATCAAAAGTGTATAAGTATCAAGGCCAAGAAGAAGAAGAGACAAGAACTGAGAAGCAGAGAAAATGTGCAATACGAAAAAGAAAGCAAAGAGCATAAACTATTTTTCTTCTAAAAGTACTTCCTGAATATCTGTGTAAAACTAAGATAACTTATCTTAGTGAGTGTTGCTAATAGTTCATCCTCTCTACGAGAGTAAACAAACACTTAGACATTTATCCCTGTAAGACTAAGGTTGTGCACCTTAGTGAGTGTAGAAATTATCCTATCCTCTTTGTGAGAGTTGTAAACACACTCAACACCCTTACTCGCTATCAATCCTGAAGAGGCTAGTAGAAAGAATACTTGTGAACCAGAAGTGGTTGAGAACACTAGCGCTAGTGAATGAAGCTAACGGGCCAGAAGTGGTCAAAAATACTTGTGAACCAGAAGTGGTTGAGAATACTAGCGTCAAGTTGACAAGCCAGAAGTGGTTGAGAATACTTATAATCGTTTGTGATTAGTGGAACCCTTCGGTTGAAGGAGACTAGACATAGCTCAAATTGAGTGAACCAGTATAAACATCTATGCATTCTTTTTATTTTTCAACACGACTTACTTCATCTTTCATCTACCTCTTTTCAAAAAACTATTAGACGAAAACACACTTGATCATTGAAACTGAGAAACAGTTTTTCATTGGACGAGAGAAACCTTTCAGACGGAAAACAAATTTACTCAGATTTTTTTTTAAAAAGAGAAAATTTATTTTGGAAAAATCACTAACAGAAAAATCTGCTTAAGTTTTCCAACCAAGATTGAAATACTCAACTTAGAAACTATCCTTGCGAAGCAATTTCGAAAAATCTTCATTCGAACAAGAAGTCTAAGAAAGAATCCAACGTGAAGGAATCTAGGGTAGATCTCTCTTATTTTCATGGAAAAGATGATGTTGAGACTTATCTTGATTGGGAAATCAAAGTTGAACAACTATTTAGTTGCCACCTAGTGAAGAAAATAACCGCTATTAATTACATAATTTTTTGTAGTGATGTACCCTTTTTAATGATAGATTGAGTATTATCACTTCCAATCTCTAAAATTATGATAAAGGCTTTCATATTGAAGAGAGATATAAGTATGAGTTCATGTTATAAATAGAAGGAGATGATTGAAAGTTTGACCTCAATGTTATTCCAACATCAAAATTGTGTCAAATGTTGGTGGCTCACGTCTAACACAAATAGTAAATCACGTCTCGACGATGGTTCCACTCTGACAACCCAATCCCATATCTTAACCTTATTGGAGGTAATACAGACACACACACATCATGACTCAATGGGTTCCACGTAAACAATTTATGACCATGAAAAAGTTTCAAATCTCATACACGTACCCTCACTCATGCACACAGTGAAAAAGTTTCAAGTCACTCTCATGCACACAGATTCTCAACCAAAAAGTTTCAGGATTTGCTACATATCAGTCATGCAATTATTACGAGAAAAAAAAATGATAAAGTATGTTAATTTCCGCTCACTTGTGAAAAAATCAGATGATTTCTCAATTTTTATGCGTATTTTCATAATTTTGTTATCTTAAATGTAATATAAAAATTTAAAATTATTTGTAAGAGATAAAAAAATGTAAGGTAAAGTATATGCTAAAGAAGATAAATTTAATATATATTAACAATCTTCATTCTATAAAATAAAAAATGAAGACATATAAGAAAATGGAGGGAGCCTTATTTAGCATGCTTTGGAATTAGAACTACAAATTTCTTCTCTAAAGGAGAAAATGGATGGTGTCCTGATTCTAAAATGAAGCATAAAATAGAATTTCATGACCCTTTTTTTTTTTTTTTGTAACAAACATTTTATGAAATAAATAATATATGACACTGTTTAAGTGTCTCTCACTTGCAACATTAATAATAATAATAATTATAATTATTATTATTATTATTTATTATTATTATTATTATTATTGTTATTATTATTATTATTATTATTAACTTTTAAAATTTAGATGATTATCATAATAAATATATTTTATGGTAAATTAGAGTTAGATAGAATAATAAACTGATGTTTCCATCAAATAGGTAATATAAGGACGAAAAATATGTAAGGTAAGGTAAAATTAAGTTAATAAATTATAAGATTATACACAAATGGAGATCCATTTGCTTTTAAGAGTAGTTATTGTGATATTTATTTCATTCAACATATTTTCTTAGATGTTAAATTTTATTAGTTTAATCATTAAATTAAAATTTCTCTTTAAATAGATTTATTCCTCATTAATTTAATTAAATTTATTAATAAAATATATCAACTTTTTGGAAAAAAAAATTAACTTTAATGTATAATATATTTTTATATACAATATGTGAAATTGGAGACTTAAAATCATAGTTTTAAAAACCGGACCGGTCATCGAACCGGTTAAGGTACTGGGTCAGTGGGTCAAAGGTTGAACCGGTGGGTCACTGGTTGAACCGCATGACTCGATTTTTATTTATTTTTATTAAAAAATATTCATATTAAATATATTTTATACTTATAAATTTTAATAAATTCATATCTTATTTTAAATTTTAATTTTTCTATATTATTTAAAATTATTTTTATTTTTATTTTGTAAAAAATACATAAAAAAATTACATGTTAAACAGTATATTAATACAAATTAAAAATATAAACAATATGTACATATATAATATGCTTGCAATTAATATCACAAAATAATATATGTAATATTTACATAGATATTGCATTATTAAATATATAATTTAAAATTAATAATATACTATAAAAGTTATTTAAGTTGTATATATTGCAAACAAATATATTAGAACAAGTAGTCATTGTTATATTTAATAAGACTCCTTGCTTTTTCATTAAGAGTATGAAATAAATAATATATGACACTGTTTAAGTGTCTCTCACTTGCAACATTAATAATAATAATAATTATAATTATTATTATTATTATTTATTATTATTATTATTATTATTGTTATTATTATTATTATTATTATTAACTTTTAAAATTTAGATGATTATCATAATAAATATATTTTATGGTAAATTAGAGTTAGATAGAATAATAAACTGATGTTTCCATCAAATAGGT